TTCAGTTTCTACATCTGTGAAGTAGAATAACTACATTAAAGGATTGTTGAAATGAAAAATGTTTGTAAAGAATTAATCTGGTCACCTCCAGTTCATTTCTCCACTATAGTTGCTACACTTAATTTTCTAGAATGCAAAGCTATGCCACATGTTTATTCAGAAACCATTATAACAACTTTCTGTAGTGCTCAAAGAAAAGTCCAAACTCTCCTGCTAAGATCTTAAGTATATCTTGTCCATCTGTCTAGCTTTATCTCCCTGTTACTTCCTAACCGATTATCCTCTCATGTGCCATACTAAATTATTTATAGTACCCAAGAGGCAGTAATCAGAACAAAGCAAGGAAACACTGCATGGTTCAAAATTGGGAAGGGCGTACACCAGAGATGTATCCTGTCTCCATACCTTTTCAACTTGTATACAGAACAGATTATCTGGGAAGTTGGGCTCTATGAGGAGAAATGTGGGGTCAAGATTGATGGAAGATCTATCAACAATCTGCGATATGCAGATGATACAACCCTGCTTGCTGAAACTGAGGAGGACCTGAAGCACTTGCTGCAGAGGGTGAAGGACTGCAGCCTCCAATATGGATTGAGGCTCAATGTCAAGAAGACAAAGATTCTCACCACTGGACCAATTGGCAGCATTAAGATGGATGGTGAAGAGATCAAGATTGTTCACAGCTTCAGTTTGCTTGGCTCCACAGTCAACACTCTTGGCACCAGTAGCCAGGAAATTAAAAGGCATATTGCCATGGGAAAGTCTGCTGTTAGGGACCTCTCCAAAGTATTGAAGAGCAATGGTGTCTCTTTGGAGACTAAGGTGTGTCTGATACAGGCCATGGTCTTTGCTATCACTTGTTATGCATCAGAGAGTTGGACAATGACTATGGACAATAGAAGGAGAATTGATGCCTTTGAGCTGTGGTGCTGGAGAACAGTATTGAAGGTACCATGGACCGCTAGGAAAAAAAACAGATTCATCCTGGAAAGGGTCAAACTGGGCTGCTCCTTGGAGGCAAGGATTCTAAGGCCCCATCTAACATACTTTGGACATGCTGCAAGGAGGGACAGGTCCTTGGAGAGGGACATCATGCTTGGGAGGGTGGAGGGACAGTGCAGAAGGGGAAGGCCCCCTATGAGGTGGATTGATTCAGTGACTGGGGTAATTGGGATGGGTGTATCGGAGACAATGTGATTAGCACAGGACAGAGCAGAGTTTAGGGATGTTGTACATAGGGTCGCTATGAGTCGCAAGAGACTCGACGGCACATAACAACAACAACAACGACAACAGCAACAACAACAACAACAAGGCTTTGTCTGACAGACTTTGGACATGTTATAAGGAGGGACCGGTCCTTGGAGAAGAACATTATGCTTGGGACAGTGCAGGAGGGGAAGACCCTCTAGAAGGTGGATTGATTCAGTGACTGGGGTAATTGGGGTGGGTGTGGGTGTGTCGGCGATGGTATGATTGGCACAGGACAGAGCAGGGCTTAGGGCTGTTGTACAAAGGGTCGCTATGAGTCACAAGCAACTCAATGGCACATAACAACAACAACAACTACAGAATCTATCACATTGTTTTATGCCTCTGTGCCTTCAATCATGCTATTTCTCCGTTTAGAATATTCTACTTTTCCTCTTTAGCTTATTCTATAGGTAAGTCTTTTTTTTTAAAAAAAAAAATTTATACCAGTTTATACACAAAGTTCAAAAAGTTCATGAGTATGTCTTTTTTTTTCCTTTTGGTGGAGATTTTTTTTCTTTTTCTTTTTAAATTTGTTATTAATTTCAACGAGAATTTACAGAGACTTTGGATTTCTATTAATTCATTGTTGCACTGTTCTCCCTTCCCAACCATCCCCCCTAGTACACTACCCTCTTGGAAAAGTAAAAGAAAAATTCTTTCAGTGTTTTACACTCCCTCCCCCCCCCCAGGGCCACTCCACTATGCAGCCTTCGCTCTGGACTCCTGTCATGACAAAAATACCTAATCACATATCCCATTTAAATGGTTTTCTCCTTCATTTGTTTCAATGCAATATACATTATTGAACCCATCTTTCTCAGTCTTCCCCCAACCTCGTGGTCAGACCTGTTTTACAACAGTGGCACCATGCAGTATTTGTCCTTTCGTAACTGAGACACTTCACTCAGCATAATGTCCTTCAGTGTCACCCATTTTGAATGATATTACATGAGTTCCTTGTTTTTCAATGCAGTGTAGTATTCCATTATGTGAATATACCACAGCTTCTCTATCCATTCGTTTGTTGATGGGCACTTAGGTTGTTTTCAACTCCTTGCTATTGTGAACAAAGAAAGCCACAATAAATACGGGTGTGCATATATCTGCTTAGATGTCAGTTATATTCCCAGTAGTGGAATTGATGGGCCAAATGTATCTCTATTTGCAACTTTTTGAGAAAGCGCCATACCACCTTCCACAGTGGTTGCACCATTTTCCACTCCCATCAACAATGAATAAGGGTTCCAGTCTCTCCACAACCTCACCAGCATTTGTTGCTTGCTGTTCTGTTAAATTTTGCTATTCTGACTGGGGTGAGATGATATCTCATAGTGGTTTTGATTTGCATCTCTCTTAGAGCTAGGGTTTTGACCATTTCTTCATGTGCTTGTTCACCATCTGAATTTCTTCTTTGGTAAAGTGTCTGTTCATATACTGTGTCCATTTTTCTACTGGATTATTTACCTTTATCTTGTGGTAGAGTAAGTCTTTTAAACTCTAGTTAAATAAAATAGCTGCTGAGATGGCTTCAATGAGCTGAAAAGATTTCCCATCTCTGTGCTCAAACAGCAACCATGGAGAATACTCTTTTCAAAGATCTTATGCTTCACTCTTATGCTTTATTATTCTATTCTCTTATTAGATTGCAAACTCAATGATATTGAGGACTATTTCTTATTCATATGTGAATTCTCAGGGCCAAGCACGAACATTTAAGTCCTCAATAAATGTTTAAAAAAAAAAGCATCCAGCCTATAATGTCATTTTCAAAATGTTCTCTTTCTCTTTTCTGCTTCATGAGACAATTATCATGTAGAGTTTCTGTTCTAGTTCAAGAAATGTTAAAAAAGAGTAGGTCTATCCTGGGCACCCTCTCCCTAGAATACTCTTTATTGTCATTAAAAAAATTAGCATTATTAGCATCATCTTGATTATCAGATGAGTCAAACATTTGTTTAAAGGTGGCGGTGTTGTTAGGTGTCATCAAATCTACTAGAAATAACAGCTATCCTACGAACAAAAGATCTGAATTTTGCCCTGTCCTGCACACACCATCCTCATGATTTCTGTCATGTTCAGGCCCTTTTTTGATATTTATTGTGTCAACTCATTGTGTTGAGGGTCTTCATCTCTTTTGCTGACCCCCTACTTTCCAAAACATTACGTCTCTCTTCAAGGACAGTTTTCTCCTGAGATGAAGTTTCACCATCCTTGCTTCTAAGAAATACTCTGGTTGCTCTTCAAGACAGATTAAATTATTCCTGTGACAGTCCATGGGATGTACTCAACATTCTTAATTAACACCACAATTCAAGGGCACTGATTCTTCTCCAGTCTTCCTTTATCCACTGTCCAACTTTCTGATGTATAGGAAGCAAATGAAAATACCTTGGCTTGGATCATGTGCACCTTAGTCTTTAAACTGATATATTTGCTCTAAAGTGTTGTGTTTTATTTTTTTTTAAAGGTAGCTCCCTAACTTTACTCATTCTTATTTTCTGCACATTAACTGAGTGGTTATGATGTTTTAGTAACAGTTAGGTTAGGTAAAAAAATCTGTGGACTCATGCATACCAATGTTTATTGACGCACTGTTCATAATAGCAAAGAGTTGGAAACAACTCAAGTGTCTATCAATAAATGAATGGATAGAGGATCTGTGGTATATACACTCAATGGAATACTATGCAGCACTGAAAAAACAAGAAACTAATATTTTACAAAATGAGTGACCCTGGAGGACATTATGCTGAGTGAAATATCTCAGTCACAAAAGTACAAATACTGCATAATGCCACTGTTATAAAATAGGACTGACAAGGAGGTTGGGGGAAAACTAAGAAAAGGGGATAAATAATGAACACTGCATTGAAATGGATGAGGGAAAGAATTATCTAAAAGATATATATGATTGGGTATTATTTGCATCACAAGAATCCAGAATGAGAGAGAGGTACATAGCAAGGTGGACTGGGGGGGGGGCAGGAGGGAGGGAGGAAATTGTGCAACACAAAAGAATCTTTTCAAAGAGAAAAGCGAACTGGAGTGGGGGTAAGGAGGAAAATGTGTAACAATCAATGAATGGAAAGCCAAGTTTTCTGTAAACTTTCATTAAAATATCAATTAAAAAAAAGAGAAAGAAAAAATAATGTGTGAACGGTTGGACATACTCTAGAGCTGCAAAGTTCAGAACCAGTTCTTAGATATGTAGTGATCCCAAAAAGACAGTGTTATTATGTAACACCTTCTTTGAAGCAGGTAGCTAACCTCTCTTTTTGAAATGGCTAGTGTCAAAGAGACTACTAAAGTATGCCTAATCTCATTATGCAGTAAGAGAAGAACAGTGACTAGCCTGTTACCATGGGCAGGTTGTCTGAGTTTCCTCTAAGTTTTGGTTTCCATGTAAAATGGATGTATGCTCTCTGGTTGATAGAGAGCTTTTTCATCTGACTATTCACCTCAAAGTTAGTCTGAATACAAACAAAAGTACTGAGAAGAACAGCTGAGAGATCTGCTTCTGTAAAGATTACAGCAAAGAACACAGTATAGAGCAGATGTATTCCATGAGGTTATCATGAGTCAGAATGGATTCAACTGAAAAGGGCTTATTTTTTTAAAATAAGTCTAATATCTTTCTCCTAAGATTGTGAAGATTAAATAAATAATGGCTGAGGAGTCTCAGATACTGTGTGACAAAGAGAAGTTATTCAAAGCACAAGAACTGAGCTTGGTTCTTTACTTACCACTGACAGTTAGTGTGCTCGCTGACCTCTCGCCAAGCCTTGTTAGGTCCACAAAGGCTGATCCGATCCAGCTGTCTGTCTGGTGGGGTCTCTCCACGCTGTCATTGCCATAAGCCCGCCACACCTGGATCTCTAGCTTCTCCTCCCTTAAGTACCACAGCAGGGATGGACCCCTGCTGACTTTGGCTCTTTTGAATGCCTTGAAAGTAACCATGACCTGGTTTTTGTCTGGAGATTCCTTAGGTTTCCTAAGAGGGGTCCAAAAAGCTTCGTGATCATACAGCTTGTAGCGAAGGTAGCAGTAAATATTCTTATGAATATGCTTCTGGCCGGCAAGCAGCACACAATGGGTAGGCAGCCAGAGCCTTGGGGTGGAAATGGTGACAGTGGCTGGCTCCTCTTTATCCAAACTGACAAGATCCTTCAGGATGCCATCACAACTCCAGCCCAACAGCTCAGCAGCTTCCAGCACCCGCTCTCTATCTCCAGAATGGGTAAAGGAAACAGAGACCTCCAGACCACCCACAATCTTCTGCATTAGCTCCAAGCTATGAGCCAGGACTTCATCTACTGGGAAAATGACAGGATACCACCCTGTGATGCCTTAAGAGAGAAAAGAAAGATTTTCAATTATTAGAATAAAAAAAAAAACACAAACCAAAACCCCAAACAAAACACACAACTACCCCAAAATCAAAACAATAAAAATTAAAAACCAAAACCAAAATACAATTTATTCACTCTTCACCGAGGGCCACCATTACCTACAATGGAACAGAAAATGTGCATTCACAGTGAGACAGAGGTTGAGTTTCATGTGACCACTGAGAGTTACAACTGGTAAGAACAACAAAGGCTAGGAGTTGGAGGATCTGAGTTTCTTCCCTGGCTTATCTCCAAATGTGTGGTACATTCTGGGAAAGCCATTAATCTCTCAGCCTTGGTTATCCTTACTTGACAAATGAAAAAATTAATCACTAAGCTTGTCTGTGGAGGATGTTGCCTATATTGATAAGAATCTTGGAGAGGGTGAAACCAAGTTTCTCCTTGGAGGCTAGTATTTTGAAGCTTCATCTCACATACTTTGGGCATGTGTCTGGGAGGGACTAGTCTTTGGAGTAGGACATCATGCTCAGAAAGGTGGAGGGACAGCACAGAAGAGGAAGACCCCAGATGACATGGACTGATACAGTAACTGTGGCAATGGGGGTAGGTGTGCTGGAGTCAGTGAGACTGGCTCAGGACAGGGTAGGTTTCAGAGCTAGTGTACACAGGGTTGCTATGAGTCACGGGTGACTTGACAGCACACAACAACATCATGATCATACAATGTAAGAGTAATACCATACTTATTATCATCATCATCTTTCCTAAAGTAAGATAAGCGCAAAATGTGCAAAATGCTTTGTGCTATTTTACTGGAAAACCTTTGGAATGCGTAAGGGAGGATTTAAAACTAAAACCTTTGAATACCTGGGAGAATTTAGAAACATGTTAAGAGGTCATATTTACTTTTCTCATCTTGCAAACCACATCTTACAAGAGATGATCTCTTGTAGGAAAATGAATGGGAAAGGGTAGGATCAGAAAGTGAAAATTCAGAATCCTTACCAGATCTCTTGATTAGTAGCTCTTTCGTTGGAACCTTTACTACTCCAAGCAAATAATCTCTGGTTGTCAGGAGACTGGCCATGTCACTGGCTGTTAAATCAACCAAAACAGAAAAATTATCTGGTGGCCTACTAAAGGTTATGTTTACAGTATATGCAGCCTTCCATTTTTATACCCAGATTCTTAGCATCAGAGGAGTTTGGAGGTCAGCTTGCTCATATGTTAGTCAAAATGTGAACGCCCTCTATATAATTTCAAAACCAGAATGTTATATCGTGAAAAATTTCAAATATACACTGTTTTAGTAATATTCCAAAGAATTTCTATATATTTTTTATGTAGATTTAACTTAACATTACCACCTTGACAAAATTTGCTTTATCTATATATATGTATGCCTCTCTCTCAACATAACCACATTAAACAGACTCTCATGTTTTGCTATACTCCTCAGAAGTAATTTAAGAAATTATGATCCCTCACTCCTAACCACTTCAACATGTATGTCCTAGGAACAAGGGCTTGTTAGGAAATATATACATTAAAAGTGAAAAAAAAAATTAGAGAATTTAACCATTGATGTAATACTGTTTTCTAATACAATCACTTTATTGTAAGACTGTTCACGTACCCTAATTTAGAATCTAATTCAGGACTATGCATTGCATTTAATTTAAATGTTCTGTTTGGTACAGTAGAACGTGATAGTAGGGAGCTGAATGAATTAATAGTTATTTAACATATTTTCTGTATTCTTCAAATATTTGATATTTCACTTACACAAAGGTTTTCTAAAAAGAACCAAATATAATGTTAATAATAAACAGTGGCAATCAGTAGAGAATTCATAGCTGAGTAAGATCTTGAAAGACTGATCTTCTTATCTACCTCCCTACTTTTAAGCAGTACTACATTAAACATGGCTGTGTGTTGTCGTCATTGTGCTATTTTCTCCCTTTCTTACAATGACTTTAAAAGGTTTAACTTGCTGTTGTTGTGAGGTGCTGCTGAGTTGACTACAGAGCAACCCTATGGTAAACAGATCTGAACCAGGCCCTATCTCGTGTCTCCTCTCTCTTGCTGAGTCTCACCCTTTCCCAGCATGATATCTTTTTCCAAGGACTGGTTCCTCTGACAACATGCCCAAAGTATGTTTGTCCAAGTTTTATCATCTTTGCTTCTAACGAGCACTATGGCTGCACCTCTTTCAAAGGCAATTTGTTCTTTTAGCAGATATTAAAAACTATAATTCAAAGACATGCATTCTTCTTCAGTCTTCTCTGTTCATTGCCCACCTTTCAGATACATAGGAGTTAATTGAAAACTGCTATTAATTTTCTTTAGAACTTTGGTTGAGGTCTTTGATAGCACATTTCCCCAACACAGTATGTATTTTGATTTCTTGACTGCTGCTACCCTGGATGCTGACTGTGGTTCCAAGTATAATGAAATCAATGACAACTTCAGTCTTTATCTGAAGATTTTTATTTTCTTGACGTTGAGATGCAATCCATATTGAAGGCTGCCATCTTTGATCTTCTTCTGTAAATGCTTCAATTCTTCTTCAATTTCTGGAAGCAAGACTGTGGTATTTGCATCACACATGTTGGTGATGAGTTTTTCACCTATCCTGATGCAACATTCTTCTTCATATAGTCCAACTTCTCTAATTATTAGCTTGGCATACAGATATAACTTCCTAAAGAATATGATCAATATACTCTGCTGCTGTATGAAAGGCTGGAAGTTCAAGTTCACCCAGAGACAACGCAGAAGAAAGGTCTGATCACATATTTAAAATAAAACAACAACCAAAAAACAAAGTCATTGAAAACTCTGTGAAGCACAGTTCTACTGACACACATGAGGCTTATCATGAGTCACAAGTGAAAATGACAACAAATGGTTTTTTGTTTTTAAGATGTCATAGAAGTAATGCCTTCTTTTTTCTCCACAGTATTTGGCACAAGAAAATTAGCTGGGGAGAAAAAAACCCCAATGTCTAGAAATTATTTCATTTTCTTAAAATATTCTACTGAGTAGATTTTAATTTGATTTTGGTAATATGGCCCAGGTTTTATAAGCTTTGTTGAAAAACAAACAAACAAACAATACCCTGAAAGGCAAAACGTGTAACTGGAAACTACTTTATTCTCAGTTGTGGACTTTGTCGACCCTCTAAAATTCACTTGGACAGTGTTCTTAAATGATCTTTAAACCACATGCTTATACTTGTTACACTCCAAGTGTACCTTCCAAGAAGGTATGGAAAGTCGATTTTGTTCACCATTAAATCTCCAGCAACCAGTATAGTTGTCTGGTTTAAAGTGTGTACTCAATTACCTGTTGAACACCTAAGAAGGGGCTTTATCATTCAAAATAGAGCCTTTCCATCTTTGACTCTGATGAGTCATGTGATGCTCACCTGACTTGGTATCTTTATGATAAATAGCAAAAGTAACTTCTGCAAATTCCAGCAGCTCTGCCAGGAAACAGGCCTCTCCACTGCTGTGCTGAGTCACCAAGTTACATGAGAACTCAGTGTGGTGGGAGAATTCAGGGCAAAAAGAACAAGCCACAGGGTGGGTATGGCGCTGTTCTTCCCTTGGCAGGAAAGACAGATGAGTGGTGACAAAGGTGTTGACTCCAAATGTGGCACTGAACTGAAGGGTGGGTTCCTTTTCGGCCAAAGCCCTGTAGGAGAAGAATGAAGAGTAATGGTAATCTTTGACATTAGCTCAACTGTCTATAACCCATCTTCACTATATGTTTCTTTGATTTCCATCACTTTTCTTTGCTGATCCTCCAGCAGATTTTCAGAAGCTATAAATTACATGGGAGGAGAGTGGATATCCTTTTCTCATTGAGCAGTTGGTGGATTTGAACCACCAGAGATAAAGTCTTTGAGTTACCAGCACAATTCCCTATGGACAACGCCACCAGAGCTCATATACCAGCAGAGGGAAGAAAGTGGATTTATAATTCTTACTTCACTAACTACTTACTATGTGACCCTAGAAAAGTTATTCAACTTTTACTAAGTTTCAGTTTCTTCTTAACTAAAATAAAGGTAACATAACAAAACACACTGCTATCAAATTGGCTCTGATTCGCAGGCTGTATATCTTTACAGGAGTAGACTGCCCATCCTTCTCAAAAAAAGCAACTCATGGATTAGAATGGCCAACTTTTCAGTTAGCAGCTACACTGCCTGACAGTGTAAATTTAGAATGGTCTAATGAAACTATTTATAAAATAAAATTCTTACAAATTTGCAATTATCTCTGTATAAAATGACAAATGGAAGAAATGGTGTGAGGGTGCATGTTACGACTGTTAATAACAGTTAATACACGCAGAAAATTTTGCAAGTGATTTTGCCCACTTGTATTCTGAAATGTTTTCTTATGAGAAAAAAGAAAAGGGTAGCATCCTGTTAGTGAATAGAAAATTGCACACAAGAAAGTTTTGGTATCTATCTGTCACATGGATTACAAGGAAGGGGCTTAGTATTGCTTTTCTAAAGTTGACTTACTTAGCTGCCGCTTGCAGACCACACGCTCTGATAATCTGCACTGAGACGGAGACAGTTCGGGCAGCAAGTACGCCCTCTGCTGTCCTTGTAGTACGTCTGTATCTCAGACCCACATCCAGTAAACCTAAGAATGAGGATAAAAGGAAAAAGGCCAAAAAAATCAGAAAGATTATTACTATATTCCAGGGACAGTTTTAAGGAGAACAGAACAGGGTGTTCAATAAGGGTCAGGAGGAATAACTCAATCTTAACTTTGTAAAACATAATAAAATACTGTTTGGCAAACAGTACGGCAGTTACTTGATTTACAAGGCTCATCTTCATTATCTGATGAAGTATTTGGAGGTTTCATTCTGTGGAAACACTAGGATACTTATTAATACAGCTCAAAACCCCAAATTCTTATAATCCTTTCCAACTATAAAGCCTAACCATTTTCCTTACACTCAATTCCCAGCTTATGCTAACCATTCTACCAACCACATAACTGTTCATGTTGCTTTTGATTAATATTTCTGAGTACATTTATATAACACTTCCTATATATGTTATGGTTGTTGCTATGTGCCGAGTGTAGTGAAAACCAGATCTTAACTCTGTCCTGTCAGTGCTCTCAAGCCCATTGCTACAGTTACTGTGTCAATCTATCTGGCTGAATGTCTTTCTCTCTTTCATCACCCCTCCACCTTCCCAGCACGATGTCCCTCTCCAAAGAATAACCTCTTCTAGCAATATGCCCAAAGTATGTTGAGACGAAGCTTTATCATCTTTGCCTCCAAAGAGCCTGCTGGCTTAATTTTCTCCAAGATGTATCTGTTTGTTCTTCTGATGTGTGCCTGATTCAGGCCACAGTCTTTTCAGTTCAGTATTTATGTTTTAAGGGCTTATTTAACGAAATGCTTGTTGATGTTAAAGATAAAATGGGTAGATGCTTAAAGAATTAAGCATTTTTAAAAATTAGGGGCAAACTCTACATTGTCTGTTACACACTAAATTTTCAAGAAAAAGGATGTCTCATCATCTGAATCAGATTCTCAAAAGGGTTTTGTTGTTGGTACTAAGTCAACTCAAATTCACTGTGGCCTTAAAGAAACAGAAAGGAAACTTTCCCTGTCCTACGCTATCTGCATGAGCTGGTATGTTTGTCAGCACTTCACAACTGACAAGAATCAGTAATTGAGTAAAGTACACTGACTTGGAAAGTGAAAGACACAATCTCCTCCTGTATCTGTCAGATCCAATTTGACGGTGTTGTTGTTGTTATGTGCCGTCGAGTCGCTTGCGACTCATAGCGACCCTATGTACAACAGCCCTAAACTCCGCTCTGTCCTGTGCCAATCGCACTGTTTCCAACACTCCCATCCCAATTATCCCAGTCACTGAATCAATCCACCTCATAGAGGGCCTTTCTCTCCTGCGTCGTCCCTCCACCCTCCCAAGCATGATGTCCCTCTCTAAGGACTGGTCTCTCCTCACAACATGTCCAAAGTATGTTAGACGGAGCCACAGAATCCTTGCCTCCAAGGAGCTACCCGGTTTAACCCTTTCCAGGACAAATCTGTTTTCCTAGCAGTCCATGATATTCTCAATACTCTTCTCCAGCACCACAGCTCAAAGGCATCAATTCTCCTTCTATCCTCCTTGGTCATTGTCCCACTCTCTGATGCATTGCTAAGACCATGGCCTGTATCAGACGCACCTTAGTCTCCAGAGAGACAAAATAATAAAATAATAATAAAAAAATCTAAAAAAAGAAAGAAAGAAAGGGAAAGACAACACAGTGTTCATTACCTGATGATTGGTTCTTCAATTCTTTCCTGTTGTCAAGGCTTGGGGTTAAAGTGAGATTAAAGGTCTGTATTCCCATATCTTCACGATGCTGCATGGTTACCATGGCACAGATCCTTGATAATGGCAAGGTTCCTTTAGCAACCATCTGTTCTCTCACATTAGGATAATAATATCTGCAAGCCACAAACACACAAACTGTCAACTGGTAGAATCAGGTGGATGCCCCAGAGGTCAGTTTTTAAAAATCTAATTCTCTTCAGAATCATATTGGTGGTATGCAGCTGAGGCCTTGTTTGACTGGATTTACTACCCACAATGGGGAGGGAAACCGTACAAATTATACACCATGCATGCTAAGAACAAAGGCTGGCTTCCCAAAGGCTGCCTGTTTCAGGTATCTGCTTCTGGCCTGGATCTCTGAGAGCAATCACTCCTAAAAGGTTGTTTCTGTTCTGCAGCAGTAAAAGTGGACAATCTCAATCTTTTCCAAGGTCCATCTATGTCAGGTCTATTCCCCTTATTTGCATGGGAAATAAAGATCTGGCTGTAACTCCTTCAGTTTCTTCTGTTTCTCACATGTGATTTGCACTCTTCTCTAATTCTGTTCCTGATACTGTTACTTTTCCTTCCATGTTAACAATCTTAAATGAGTTGGTTTCTTGGGGGTAAGGCTGAAAAGAGGTAAAGTGAACATCCATATTTATGCCATTATATTTCTTTGAAATCTTATGCCCAAAATTTGTTGCTTAGTTTTACAATTTACAAAGGTTATGTTGTAGCAGTGAGAAGAAGAGACCAAAAGAAATTAATCTAGGAATGTTGTTGTTGTTATGTGCCATCGAGTCACTTGCGACTTATAGCGACCCTATGTACAAGAGCCCTAAATGCCGTTCTGTGCTGTGCCAATCTTGTCGTCTCAAACACACTCATTCCCACCACTCCACTCACAGAATGGATCCATCTCATCGAGGGTCTTCCTCTCCTGGCCGTCCTCCACTCTCCCAAACATGATGTCATTCTCCAATGATGAGTTCCTCCTTGCAACACACCTAAAGTATGTCAGACAAAGCTTCAGAATCCTTGACTCCAAGGGCTTCACCCTCTCAAGGACAAACCTCTTTTTTCTCCTAGTAGTCCATGGTATACTCAACACTCTTCTCCAGCACCACAGCTCAAAGGCATCAATTTTCTTTCTGTCATCCCTATTCACTGTCCAACTCTCAGATGCATAGCACATAATTGCAAAAAGACTATAGCCTGGATCAGGCGCACCTTAGTCTCCAGCCTGA